CGGTCCTCGAGGGGCCCCGTTCCCGCGCCGGCGCCAGCGGGAGGAGGAGGAGGGAAGGGGGGGGGGTCTGGCCTTCCTCCTCCTCCTGGTCCTCCTCCTCCCCTGCGGAGGGGGGGCCGGGGGGGCCTCAATCCCCCTTTTGTGCCGCTCTGTTTGCGCAGCGGCCCCGATGGCTTCCAGATGTCCCCGCGGGCGCCCGTGAAAGAGCCTCATTCATCGCCCACCCCCCAGCCGGGACCCCCCCCCTTGCCCCAGCCCACACAGGGCCTCCCTGCGGGCCCCCCCGCCCCCGCCCCCAAAGGGCCACCAGCCCGGGCCACCGCGGTGGCCCCGCGCGCCCGCCGGTCCCCACCGGCACCTGATGAGAAAAGCAGGCGCCGGGGGCCCAGCCAGCGGCGCTGCTGCCAGGGGGGCCACGCGGGAGGGTTTTAGTTGATATATTTAAAAAAAGAAACTCTTTTTTTTTTTTTTTAGTCTGAATTTGGGTTATTTTCCTGCATGCGGTGCCGCTTGTGTCCCTGCAATGGGAGCTCGCACCCGGGGTCCCCCGTCTCTCCCCCGCCATGGGCCACCCTGGGGGCCGGGGGGGCAGTGCTGCCAGCCGTGCCGATGCCGTGATGCTGTTTCTCCCTCTCCTTTCCCATTTCCCCCCCTTCTTCCCTGTGTCTTTCCTCTTCTTCATTTTTTCTTCCTCTTCTCTTCCCTCCTTTCCTCCCCCACTTCTTCCTCTTCTTCTTCCTCATCTCCATCCTCATCATCTCCTTCCCCACCACCATCTCCTTCACCACCATCTCCAACTTCTTCCCCCACCTTGCCCATCCCCATCATCTCTTCCCCCTCAATCTTTCTCTATCATCTCTATCCCATCTTCTCCACCATCTCCATAATTTCCATCCCCATCAACTCTTTCCCTTTGATCTCTTTTGCCATCATATTCTTCACCACCACCTCCATCCCCACCATCTCCTTCCTCTCATCTTCATCCTCATCTCCGTCTTCATCATCGCTTTCCCCTTGATCTCCTTCCCCACCATCTCTTCCCCATTATTTCCATCCTCATCATCTCTTTCTCCTTGATCTTCATCCCCATCATCTCCATCCTCTCCATTTCTTTCCCCTTGATCTTGTTCTCCGTCCCCATCATCTCCATTCCCATTAACTCCAACCCCATCAACTCTAACCCCATCCTCTCCATCCTCTCCCTCTCTTTCCCCTTGATCTTGTTTTCCATCCCCATGTTCTCCATCCCCATGTTCTTCATCCCCATGTTCTCCATTCCCATCATCTCCATCCCCATAATCTCCATCCCTGTCAACTCCAACCCATCATCTCTAACCCCATCATCTCCATCCCCATCACCTCCATCCTCATCATCTCCATCCCCATCAACTCCAACCCATCAACTCTAACCCCATCACCTTCATCCCCATGTTCTCCATCCCCATCATCTCCATCYCCATCATCTCCATCCCCATCACCTCCATCCCCATCACCTCCATCCCCATCACCTCCATCCCCATCATCTCCATCCCCTCCACCTCCTTCCCCACCACCTCTTCGCCATCGATCTCCTTCGCCGTCACCCTCCTTGGCCACCACCTCCATCCCCGCCACGTCTCCCCCGTGCGCGGCCACCGTCCCCCGCGCCGCCCTGGGCGCAGAGGAGGCCGGCAGCTGCGTGCAGGACGGGCAGAGCTATAGCGATAAGGATGTGTGGAAGCCGGAGCCGTGCCGGATCTGCGTGTGCGACACGGGGACCGTCCTCTGCGACGAGATCATCTGCGAGGAGCTGCGCGACTGCCCCAGCCCCGAAATCCCCTTCGGAGAGTGCTGCCCCATTTGCCCCACTGACCAGCCTGCTGCCAGCGGTCGGAATTTATTTATTTCCCTCCCATAAATAAATTACCGGAGAGAACGGACTCGGGCGGCAGCGATGGATGAGCTGCCCCGGCTCATCCATGGCCGCCCGCTGGGAAAAGGCAACTTCTGCTCCGGCTTGTCCCGGCAACGGGAGCTTTCGCCCCGGGAATAGAGGGGGGTTGTCCCAGGAACAGAGCTTTTAACCCTCAGAATAGGAGGTTTTGCCCCAGGAATAAGGATTTGCACCCTAGGGTTGCTTGTGTGCTTGTTTATTCTCCCCAGATTGCATTTTTTACCCCCAAAATGAGAGGTTTTGGGGCTTTCACCTCCCAAATGGGGACATTTTATCCCAGGAACTGGAGGTTTTGCCCCTCATTTTATTTTTTTTCATTTCCTCTCTCTCTCTGAATGGGATTTTTACACCCAAAATGGGAGGTTTTGCCCCAGGAATGGGGTTTTCACCCTCAAAATGGGAGGTTTCGCCCCAGGACCTGGAGATTTTGCCCCAGGACTAGGGAGGCTTTGCCTCTGGAAGAGGAGGCTGGGTGCCAGATGGAAAACTCCCACGGGCCTCGGAGGCGCCGAGCAGCGCCAAGCCGGGGTTTCCTCGTATCCCTAGAAAACCCCGTTTTCAGGCCAGGAACGTGAGGGAGCCGCCGGCTTTTCCAGTGAGCAGAGCTGGGAAAACCGCAGCTCCTGCCGCGGGCGGCGGTTCCGGAAGGGCCAGCCTGAAAGGGAAATTCAAACATTGCGGTCTGCACGAAAACCCTAATAACAATAAATAAATACATGTATTACAAAAAGAAAAAAAAAAGTTTAAAAGAAATGGCCCTGGAGGCAACGCCGGCCTCACGTCCGGCTTTAGGGACCAGGAATAGGGACCGGGAATACCAGGATGCCCCGAACGCCCCTCCAGAGCAGAAGTTGCCTTTTTGCACCAACCCTTTCCCGGCGGGACGAAGGGTTGAGCCCGGATCGCTGCCGGTCGCTCCGACCCGCGGGGCTCCGGCCCCGCCGCCGCTTCCCGCTTCGGCCCCGTCCCGCTTTCTGCCCCGGCTTTGTGGGTGCTCCCCCCACTCCCAGCCCCATTTCCACCCCCTTTCCGCTGCATTCCCCATGGGAACGTCTCACCTCTGTTTCTAATTTCTGCTAATTTCTCTCTTTTTTTTTTCCCTTCTTTCCTCAAACAGGACAACCTGGCCCCAAGGTGAGACTGAATTCCACCCCCCACCCATGGCACAGGGAGCCCCATTTCCTACATGTTTTCCCCCAAAATAACGTGGCCTGATGCCAGCTGGACATACAAATCTGTCACTCCCAGAGGGATCACCCTTGTGTGAGATGCCAAAATTTGGGGATTAACACCAAAATCATTGGGATGGGGAGAGGGGAGAGATTGGGATGGAGAGAGGGGTCTCCTAGGAAAGGCGGGGATGGGGGCGCAGGGATCCTGCTCATTCCAGCTCTGCATTCCAGGGACAGAAAGGTGAACCTGGAGATATCAAAGATGTAAGTGCGGATTCCCGCCCCCCTCGCCCCCCCTTGGGGACCTCCGGTGTCCCCCCACCTCTTGACTTTGTGCCTTCGTCCCCCGCAGGTCGTAGGACCCCGAGGGCCTCCGGGACCGCAGGTGGGAGCGCGTTCCGCAGCGCCGGCATTGCTGGAATGTTTGGAGGAGGGGAATGAGCTGGGGGGGGGGAGGCGCCCGAGCGCCCTGACCCCCCCCCCTTGTCACCTCCCCCCAGGGTCCCGCAGGAGAGCAGGGACAGCGAGGGGACCGTGGGGAGAAAGGAGAGAAGGTGAGCGGTGCCATTCCCGCCGGGAATGCCTCGGGAACTGGGGGGCACTATTGGGTTCCCCCTGAGGATGTAGGGATTTGAGGGGGGCCGGGGGGGAGGAACATCCTGCTGTAGAAATGGGAATTTGGGGGTGGCCATGATGTCCTGGGGATGTGGGGGTGACAGGAGCACCCCACCATGGGAATGGGGGTTCGGGGGGAGCAGGAGTGTCCTGCCATGGGCACAGGAATTTGGGGAGGGATGTGGAGTCTTGGGAATGTGGGGATGGATGCAATATGCTAGCTGGAGTGTTGGAATTTGGTGGGGAGGACGGCGGGCAGGCGGGAGCATCCTGCCCGAGGCCTGGGAATTGGGGAGAGGATGCAGTATCCCACCATGTACATGGGAATTTGGGGGGAGCAGGAGCATCCTGCCATGGGAAAGAGGATTTGGGGGTGTCAGGAGCATCCCACAGGTTGGATGCCGCATCCCGTATCCATCGGAGTGGGCACCGGCATGCCCAGCCATCCTTCTTCCCCCTTTTCCAACCTCGGTGTCTCTCCCGCACAGGGCCCTCCCGGACCCCGGGGCAGGGATGGAGAACCCGGCACCCCCGGGAACCCCGGCCCCGCCGGCCCGCCCGGCCCGCCCGGCCCCCCTGGCCTCGGCGGGGTGAGTACCGGAGAAGCGGGAGCCGCGGGCGGCCGGATCGTCCCGGATCTCCCGCCACGCGGCTCATCCGGGCCCTTTCCCGCAGAACTTCGCGGCGCAGATGGCAGGCGGCTTTGATGAGAAGGCCGGAGGGGCGCAGATGGGCGTCATGCAGGGACCCATGGTACTGCGGCCGGGAATGGGGCTGGCGGATCCATGGGGAATGGGGATGCGGCTGGGGAATCCTTGGGGAATGGGGAGGTTGACTGGGATGGGGGATCCACTGGAATGGGGATGCTGGTGGGAATGAGGGATCCGTTGGGAATATGGAGGCTACCTCAGGTGAGGGATCCATGGGGACTGTGAGTGCTGGTTGGGATGGGGGATCCGTGGGGAATGGCCTCAGGGGCCAGGTGCTCCATGAGAAATGAGGATGATGCTGGAATGTGGGTGCTCCGCAAGAAACTGGGATGATGCCAGAGCTGGGCTTTCGGTGGGAACTGGGGCTGGTGCCAGGACACGGACATCCTGCAGGACCAGGGATGCCGCCGCTGTCCCCGCCTGCCGGGTGCTGCCCAGGCCTTGGGAAGCGCTGGGATGACTTAATCCCCCTGGCATTCGCAGCCGGGTTGAAGCTGGGGTTAGCGGCAGGAGGGAGCTGGGAAGGGGAGGGGGATTGCTCCGGCGAGCCGGTAAAATTCCCTGCAGGAACTCGCCTCCTGCCGGGGCCAGTCGGTAAGTGCTAAATGGGGCCAGGGACCTGTCCCTGATGTCCCTCTTTCTGCCCCTCTTTCCAGGGCCCCATGGGACCCCGTGGCCCTCCCGGTCCCACCGGCTCTCCCGTAAGTACCTGTCCCGTCCCGCACCCGCGTCGCGGCTCCGGTGCCTCCACGGAGGGTCCTGACGCCTCCGTGTCCTGCCCAGGGTCCGCAAGGGTTTCAAGGCAACCCCGGAGAGCCCGGAGAGCCCGGCGCTGCCGTGAGTATCGGGATGCGGAGCTGGGATGAGCCCTCCGCTCGCGAAGCGGCTCCGGCAGGAAGCTCCCACCCCAGTGATCCTCCTGCTCATCCCGCTCATCCTGCTCTGCCTTTTCCAGGGTCCCATGGGTCCCCGGGGACCGCCAGGACCTCCTGGGAAACCTGGTGACGATGTAAGTGCGCCCCGTCGGTGGCCGCCTCTCTTTGCCACGGAGGCTGAGAACGAGCAGCTCGTTACCTGCCACATGGGGTCCACTTTTTCCCAGCCCGTTTTCTCCTCTTTTCCTGGCAGGGCGAGACAGGAAAACCCGGCAAATCCGGTGAACGTGGCGCTCCCGGCCCCCAGGTGAGGCTGCATCCAGCCGAATCCGTGTCCCCTCCATGGCATCGTCCCACCGGTGCAGGGACCCCGGTGCCACCGCTGCCGTCCTGACCTTGTCTCCGCTTGCTCCTAGGGTGCTCGCGGCTTCCCTGGGACACCGGGACTGCCCGGAGTGAAAGGCCACCGTGTGAGTCCCTGTCCCCAGTCCCCGCCGGGGCCCTGATCCACTGGTGGGTGACACCGGCTCCCTTCTGTCCCCTCCCTTCTCCTCCAGGGCTACCCCGGCTTGGACGGCGCCAAAGGAGAGGCAGGAGCTCCCGGAGCCAAGGTGAGCGCCCATCCCCGTGGCGTCGGGGCACGGGAGCCGGGATGAGTGGGCACACACTGGAGCCCGTCCCCATGGCATCCGGGCACGGGAACTGGGATGAGCGGGCACACACTGGAGCCCATCCCCGTGGTGTTGGGGCACGGGAACTGGGATGAGCGGGCACACACTGGAGCCCATCCCCGTGGCATCCGGGCACAGGAACCGGGATGAGCGGGCACACACTGGAGCCCATCTCCGTGGCGTCGGGGCACGGGAGCCGGGATGAGCGGGCACACACTGGAGCCCATCCCTGTGGTGTTGGGGCACAGGAACTGGGATGAGCAGGCACACACTGGAGTCCATCCCTATGGTATCGGGGCACAGGAGCCGGGATGAGCGGGCACACACTGGAGCCCATCCCTGTGGTGTTGGGGCACAGGAACTGGGATGAGCAGGCACACACTGGAGTCCATCCCTATGGTATCAGGGCACAGGAGCTGGGATGAGAGGGCACACACTGGAGCCCATCCCTGTGGTGTCAGGGCACGGGAACTGGGATGAGCAGGCACACACTGGAGCCCATCCCCGTGGTATCGGGGCACAGGAGCCGGGATGAGCGGGCACACACTGGAGCCCATCCCCGTGGTATCGGGCCCCGCCAGCTCCAAAGGGACCGTGCAATGGCCGAGCAGGTTTCACCCTTTTCCGCTTTTTTTCCCCTCAGGGTGAATCCGGTTCCCCGGGCGAGAACGGGTCACCCGGCCCCATGGTGAGTTGGGGCGCGGTGACGTTTTGGGGGGGAGGGTGGCAGGTGTGGGGGCCCCCCCTGCCACCGCCGTGTCCCCCCGCAGGGTCCCCGCGGGCTGCCCGGCGAGCGAGGACGTCCCGGCCCCTCCGGCGCTGCCGTGAGTATCCCGGGATTCGGGGCGAGCAGACCGGGCGCGCTCGGTGCTGCACGCGGGGGTGGTTCCGCTTCGGCCGGTGTCACCCCCGTGCCCCATCTTGTCCCCTTGTCACCCATCTTCCCCCCAGGGTGCTCGTGGCAACGACGGCCTCCCCGGACCTGCCGGCCCCCCCGTAAGTGAAGGGGCTTCTCCGTCCCCGTGCCCGTGCCGCGCTCCGCGTTGCCCGCCCGCGCATCCCACGCTCCCTCCTCTCTTTCCCAGGGTCCCGTCGGCCCGGCCGGAGCCCCCGGCTTCCCCGGCGCCCCCGGCTCCAAGGTGAGGTGCCACCACCGTCCCCACCCCCTCCGCTGCCATCGTCACCCCCCCAACAACCTCCCCTCTGTGTCCCCATAGGGTGAAGCTGGACCCACCGGCGCACGAGGACCCGAGGGTGCCCAGGGCCCCCGCGGCGAATCCGGCACCCCTGGCTCTCCCGGCCCCGCCGGAGCACCCGTAAGTGTCACCCTGTGCCCCCTGCCCCAAAGGGGGTGTCCCTGGTGTCCCCCCACTCCTGGCACATGTGGGGAAACTGAGGCTGGGGGCGCCCGGACAAGGCAGGGCCCCCCCTCAGCGTCTCCCCCTCTAGGGTAACCCCGGCACCGACGGCATCCCCGGCGCCAAAGGATCGGCGGTGAGTGGGGACATGCGGGG